GTAAAATCAGAACTATCCATCCAGGTGAGAATGTACCAGACAGTATGTGGAGTATCATAATCAATCCCATAAATGTTGTAGAATTTCACTGATTCCGGAAGCTTTGTACTGCTTAAAAGATCATAAGTTTCCTTTGCCCAATTCAATATATCCAAATTAAGGGGCACCGGAATATGCATGCCATCAGCAATGATCTGCCATTGCAATTTAATTGTCAGAAAGAATGAGCATTAGGGTAAGCTGAGTTACCCAATAATTTGAAATGTGAATGACACACCTCATTACTGGAAAGAGCCTTTTCAATCATCTTAATTGCTTCCTCAGGCTCATATGACTCTAACAGGGCACTTTTCTTGCCATCGTTATCCAAATTTTCTCTCCAAATCTGTAGCAGTGGGGTGTCTTTCCACTTGTAGTTAGGGTTTGCCAGCAACTCATAGATTGATGGGCACTCAAGTAGCTGAAGCAGAAAAACTTTTTCAGGATTCTTTCTAAAATGGCAAAAATTATGGTGTCCACATGAACATACACAGGGGGTGGAATCCAACCCGCCTTTGTTGCTAGTTGTTTCTGTAGTTTTATTAGTTGTTTTGGTTGGCTTAGTTGTGTTGTTGCTACATCTTTCCAGGTCTTGTTGTTGCGTCGTACCCAGTCTGGGTTTCTTCTTTTTAATATATAATCGACAGCTCTGCTGCCTGATTGGTTTCAAAAAGAATGCAAGGATATAAAAGCATACCAATTGCTGCATACACCATTTGGAAATAAAGAATCTTGATTCCCATCCTTCAACGAAAGACATTCCATTCAGCAGACTAGTAGTTATGTACCCAGGGGCACCTGCAGCAGGTTGCTTTGTCAAGTAAAATAGCAGCCTAGGAGAGATGTTTATGGTAACATATTGAGCAAGGAAAATCACAAGATGAGGGTGTATGGAATAAATGATGTTTAAATGACAAAAGGGGCCTAATCATGTGACTTCTAGGAATCAATGGCAAAAAAAATCAAGACAATCACAATACTGAATAGTACCTGCTTAGTAGAGCTCTTACAATACTCTTAATATAAAAGTGTGATTTGCAGTCATTAATACTACTAGGCAGGTTAGACATCCAGCAGCTATTTCAAATATGCTCTATGTTGAACAATATTAATTAATATAAACGGTACTCAGGCAAGTGATACCTTGGAATGGTGCAGCAATTGCGATCCAACTCTTGACATATTTTTCAAATACCTACAGAAGGAAAATAACATTATTCAGAAAAGGAGCTACGACCTTGAAGATAGCGCAGCTGCGCATGATGTTAAACATGGCAAATCTCAACCAAAGATCCAAAATACATGAAGAAGTACTAACATCACTGTGCAGAGAGATGAAACATTTCACAAGTAATCCCCCCATTGAATGGGTAATGAGATTGATCTTTTTTCCACCAGAAGCTGTGTACACTGACTCCAGCTTTTTGGAAAATCTGTCAAGAGTCTCTGACAGCCTGAAGAAGAGCGTGGTATCAACAAGGAGAAGATAACATAATGTGTATCAACAGAGAATAAAAAAATACCCACAATTTTGGTCATAAACTCAGAAAACAGCAACTTAATAATCAGTAACAAGAACAAAGTGCTTAATTTACCTGTTGCTTTGACGGAAATCGTAACCAAATCCAAAGAGAGTTTTTCCTTCTTGATATCCCCATTTAATCATTTCCACTATCATGTCATGATAGTAGTACACAGTGTCATCACCAATGATCTACAAAACCAAGATAGAGTAAATCATGAGATCAGAGAGCCACTGCAGTTTGTGCACTTCATTGGGGCTTGGATCAAATTCATAATCAAATGGCTTCAAAGTCCTAGATAAGTAACTTATAACAAAACAACAATAAAACTCACAAATAGATGAAGTAATGTCTTACCAGGTCTGGGTCTAATGTGTCAATGGCGTACAAACCATATCTGTCCTCAGGGACAGTGATTCTTGTTTTCTCGTTAACAGAAACAGTTTTACCTGCTCCATTAGAATAACTTCATATCATATGACATGGAAACAGGAAACAATCTAATGACATAAGGGACAAAAACATGAATCGAAAAGGATTGGCCAAACTTTTGCTTATAAAGCCAAAAGACGATGCCACTTTTTTTTTATTTATGGCAATTGTCTCGTGAAGACCATGCCACTTTAGTACACACGTCTGTTTCTTTTTTTTTTTTTGGGTTCATTATTCTAACTTCATTCATTTTTTTTTTCGAAATCGTTGTAAAATAAGTCAATACATTAATAACATTAGAATTTAAAAGAAGGAAGTCCAGTGTTAGAGTAATAGACAGCTGAATATAAACCGTAATTAATAATTTGTGAACAGGAGCATAGTTTGTACCAGTGGAGGCATCAAATTTGGACCAGAGCTTCTCTCTGAACTCATGCTCAGCAGCAAGGATGCGCACCCAAACTCTCTCCTTGTTTCCTTCCTCATCGACAGCTTCAAGGATGGAACCAGCAATACCAGGAACAAGTAACACTGGGTCAAGGGTGGGATCAACCAAGGGCACCTGCTCCTTTACAATCCGAAGCCAGAGCTCTATCGCCCGGATCAACTCCTCCAGTAACGTCATGGTCACGGGAAAAGGAAAAGGTTGCGCCTTCCCAAGACTTCCTTATCCAAATTCAGCACCCAAATAGCTGCCACCTGCGGCAACTGGCCCCCAAGGCACCCTCCTAGGGCAACCCTCGAATCAAGCGAGCGGCAATGGCCCGGAGAGATGGGCGGCTTCAGCAGATTGCAGTGAAATCAAGGTGAGCCTAAGATGGAATCAGCTTGAGAATTGCATCGCCAGACGAACAGATGAGCAATTTCAGCAAGCTGCGAGGCACCGGCGCAGTTTTGGGGAAAATTGGAACGCAAGCTGGGCCAATTGAACCAGAGATAGCAGTCCAAGTCGGCTGCCGCGGCGAGTAATTTGCGAGAAAGCTCCAGCTCACCGGATGAAAAGGACCAAAATAAAACGCCGGCAACTCTGACACACCCACCCTCCCCTATACAAGATGAACACCAACAGAGCCCCCCGATCGCGCGAACGAAGCCGCAGGGTTCGGAGCCAGTCGGGGGGACGCCGGCGCTGGGCTAGGGACCGCGGCCGGAATCTAGTGGTGTTTATTCGCTTCCGGAATTGGGAGGTGGTCGGGTTCCGGCGCCGTGAGGGTTTCGCTTTCCGGTCCCGTACTCTAACGCCGAACCGGAGGGAGGTACACGAAGCAACCGAAGGCCACGTGGACCCGTCACACCCACAATATGCTTCTATCACTGACAGAGGTGCCCCGCATGACACGGGGCCCAGACGTCCGTGAAACTAACTGCACGGAGGTAAAGTGTGAACGTCGAACGTCCCAGAGAAGTCCTAATTTAGTACTATCACATGAAGTTACGTGGCGACTGCGGGTTAAGACTAACATGTCAGTCAAAGTTGCTTCTGAGAGAGAGAAAGATAAAATACTAGTGTACTAGCAGTTGATGAGGCTTCCGCGGAGGATCTAGCGATTAAGGCCTGTGTGGACACAGGTGCTAAAGATTAGCCTTCTATTTTTAAGCCATTTTTTAGTCTTTGAGATCAAACAGGAACACTAAAAGAAAGGGCTAATTTTTAGCCCTCTATTAACTCATTAGCCCTCGTAAGTAGGCTAAAGAGAGCTAAAAATACTTAACACGAGACTTTACTCTCTTTATCTCTTCTCTCTCTTTCACCTTTTAGTTATGGATCCAAACATTAAAGGGGCTAAGCTTTAGCCTCTTCATTTCAAGGGCTAATCTTTAGCCCTAGACTAAACTTTAGCCCATGGTATCAAAACAGGGCCTAAGATCTGGACCGTTGGCTCCGTAAAATCATGTTCAACGTCAGATCAAAGGTTGACAGTACTTGCGAATGGCATGTGGTCTAGTGGCAGGGCTGTCCAATGGAACGCTATCCATCAGGGTTTTCGCATCTTTTTCTGAAAAGTTTTCCAAAAAATTTAAGTTACACACACGCGTGCGCGTTCGGTGGTAGTGCGCGTTTTCCGCGCACCGGAGGTGGCGACGCCTCCCAATCTTCTTTGCGTGTGTACGGACGCGCACGCATGTGTGCGTGTGGTGTGAGTGTGGAAGGTAGTGCGTCCAAATTGTACCCAATAAAAAAAAGGCTAACAGTACTCTCAAAAAATACAATTTTAAATAATATTATAATAAATCACGTCATTTAGCGTTATAAATATTAATATTTTAACCTATATATTTTATCAAATTTTAGGCATTTTAATCAAGAATGCACCTCAAATTATATGGTTTTTTTGACGAAGGGAGCACTGTAGTCCCAATCCATATACCCACCGAGACACAGGGATATGTACTGCATCTGTTAAAAAAAATGTAATTCTAGGTTTTAGATAAGTCATCAAGCTTTTTGTAAGCATCATCTGTCTTCAAATAGATTTACTATGAAAAATTATTGTATAATTAATCCAATGATACTTATTCGTTATCCTAAATGTTAGAAATTTTATATAGATTAATTTTGAAATTATTTGACTTGTCGAGAAAGTGCTTTTTGGGACAAAGTGCTACGTGTTCTACCAGTAAAAACAGCATTCTAAGGATACTTCAGAAAGTGAAAACATAAGGTTTCCAGAATCTGATCTAGTGACCTTGAAACAACTCCACCGATAATGGTAGGCAAGAAAAAGTGATCAAGACCACTTCATCATTCCCTGCATTGTTTTATGATGATAGGGGGATTCACCATTGTGCATATCAAGTCTCATGAGCACAGCAAAACTGCAGGGGATACCGCCTAACATCCTACAAGTGCTGAATCAAGTTGCACCATAGTACATGATAATGCTTGTGCCAGGAAGGTGCTGGTTTAAGCTACGAATGCAGCCTGCAGGTTCAGTTTGCTGAACCGCAGGTGACCTTCTTCGGACTACTTATGACTCCTCAATGTAGAGACGCTGAATGAGAGCTTCACTTCTCCAGGTCGAGGTCGGATTCTGTGTCTGTGCGAAGCCGCTTGGGCTCCCGGTCGCCTAGGTGCAGCGACATGGCGAGCTCTTCCTCTGATGGATTGTTCAGGTTAGCAATTTGCCTTGGAGCATCCTGGTCGTCGCGTACAGGGGACATGCCCACAAAGTTTGAGATGAACTGGCGCTCTTCCACGTTGATCACAGCTGCCTCCTCCCCTTCAGTCCCAGAGGCTGAAACGTCGTGCCGAGGCAGCTGCTCAATTTTGATCCCCAAAGGCTCAAAGATCTCCTCCACCTTTTCTTCTGGGACAGGAACGGCTGCTGTCGACGACTCCCCAACAGCAGAGTTAGCTGCAGCCACCAACGCAAGCCTTTGCTGCTGCACGGCATCTTTTATTGAGGATAAATTCTGTCAGTTATCTGTCGTGGAACAAAAACAACAGAAGCGTACAGATTCGATTTCGTAATCATAATAATTCTGGACATCACAGTGGATTTTCCGATATCTGAGAAGGGATGCAAAAATGAGCAAAACACATATTACTGAAAACAAGGAAACTGCCGAACCTTTGAGTCCTTCACTGGTTATGATAAGATCAAGTTCAAGACGATCTAGAAGGCGGCCAAGATCAACTCCACTGGTCCAATTTTCAGGGCCATGGTCACACCTAAGCTTTAGCCTCCCACGGTTTGCTGTGCCACCCCATATTATCCCTATGGGACGCGGCTTCTCGCTGTCCTGGCCAGTCAGGATAATAAGGCTTCCACTATCACCTTCTAGATCAAACGTTTGGCGGTTCTCACCAACAACAAGGAGGTCAGTGAAGAAGCTTATTCCTTTCTCGTCATTGTACTCAAGGGCATAAGCCATCACAGTTCCAGTTGTGTGACCAGAACTTCTGCCGATTTTGCATACTTGCCTCCCTATGAGGCTATTAAGTGGACACTGCAGATCTATAAATTTGACATCCCCAATGTCACCAACACCCCTAACTGTGGTTGTGACTGTGGAGATATCGAAGTCATGAGCAAATGGGATGAATGCCCCGTCGGCACGTACAAATGTCTCTGCAGGTTCATTAGAACATAGCATGTATGTTTGGGAATTAGAACATTGTGCACATCATTTGGAATCATCAGCAGCAAAAAGAAAAGGTAAATGTACTGCATGATTAGAATGACCAACTAAGGATTACTCCCTCTGGTGAAAAATAGTTGTCACATTTGCCTTTGCACGGTTTCGATGTTTATCTTTGACCACTAATTTCTTCTAGAATATATTCTAAAAATTCTTCAAATCATGAGATTTTGCAAGTATTTTCAAATAAAAATCTAAACATATAAGTAACATGTTTCCAAACTAAATAAATTTGCTAATGATGTTTATAATTTTCAAGTTTCACCAGATCTTTCCTAAACGACATGTATACCAGAGGGAGTCTTTTATTTGTTCAGAGAAAAGTCCTAACTTATATTTTATTTTCTCAAAAAAAAAACTGACATTGCTTTATTTACAAGTAGTAAACTGACGAGCAAGTTAGTGTTAATTTGATTGAAAAAGTTCATATAGAATCACAAATGTCAAACCTTGCTTGATATGAAAAGATCAAGCAATAATGTCATCTCGTGAAAATTTAAATATACAGAAAATTAACCGAGCAATTAAATCTGCAAGTAATACTTAATCTCCTATATTAACCACATAACTTATAACTGCTCTACCTGGGTTTGTTCCAGCATAGATTCCATACCAAACATCATCTGTGATGAAAGATGTTGCCCTTTCGACAGCTCCAAGATAAACACCAGGCCCAAGGTTGGGTGGCAATGGGTGATACATCTTCTGGTTTGGGTAGTCCAAGTCAACCGCAACATGTCGGTTGGTGAGGAAACCTATCTGCTTGTTGCCAGTTCGCCGTTTTACAATGGCGCCCAAAGTCCCAAAAGTGTCCTGACTTGCAACCTGGAAGAGTGAAACAAGATATGTAAGAAGAAAGTTTTCAAAAGCACGCCTTCCTGACATTGCATCATTCCGAGAAGCCTTATCATAAAGATGGGGGTGGTTCAGTTCGCCCCACAGGTTCTTCGATCCGACCCTAAAAAGTGACCCAAATGGATCCCATTTCTGATCCATAGCGTCAGATAGAGTCAATGGCTCGGAAGCACCCGAACCCTTGGGTCGAGTGGCTCGACCCACTCCGCCGTCGCCGTGCTTGCTACTGTCCGGGGGCTGCGTGCGGCGCCATCGGCTGAGACAGACGTGGCGCGGGGGCGTGCGGCACGTTGCGGCGGTGGCTGGAGAAGAGTCCGACGCGCAGGTCGGCAAAAGCAGCGGCGTCGGGCTCGGAGTCGACGGATGCCGGTGGAGGCTCGGGTGGCTGTCCTCTCCGACGCGCGGGGTCGGAGTACCGCGACGCGACATGCCAGCCACGAGGAGGAAGTCAACGACGACGCCCAGCGGGCCTCCCGGGCTGCCTATCTGTTACGGAGCTGCCGGACACTGCGGCGTGTGCGCACTGCTCGTCCTGGTAGTCCATCGGGCTGATCAAGAAGGAAGATGGGTCGATCCATGGTATCCATCGGGGCAGCGGGGCAAGCAGATAACTTAAAATGGATTAACCGCGGCTCCTATTGCATATTAAATGGATCGCTGGATCAGAACCGGTTTGATCCATGGTTCAACCATCCCCATCTTTACCTTATCAGCTGCTTTTAAGTAATTCAAGTCTATTTTGCCAAAACCTAATGTGTCATAAAAATTGTAAATTTTCAAAGAGAAGCAATGACTAGGGTAACTTAGACAATGGAAGCAATGTCTACATCTTCAACACCTAAAAAGCCCAACTGTCTGAAGCAAATTTGTGTTGGGCTCCAGAGAACAACATTCAGTTGCAGACTTGCAGTTTCTCAAATGATTTGTTGTGTTAGCTGCTATACTATAGCAAAGATTTTACAGGGTAAACTAGTTCTAATAGCTTATAAAAAGTTCAGAACATCCAGTTGGATGAACTGAACATTAGCAGGATTTAAAGTAGATCCTTTAGCCAGGCGCCTGACATGGTAGGGATAACTGAAAAAGCAACTGTCAGTCCGTAGCATAACCTTATGCATGCCGTGCAATTATTTTTCCCTTTGTACTAGTAAATCTTGAGGAGAATCTTGACAAAATTGAACGGTCCCCTTACAAACCAGTAGTACAATTCTGTAGTACATGGTTTTGCCCAATACAATCATTTCAGCATGGAACAGTGTTTTCCTCTCACAATATTTCAGCATAAGTTAACAGGGTGATTGTGCACCGCTGCACGAGTCCACATGCATGCTAGGCTTTAATCCACATGATATATATTTTGAAAACCAATCAATGCAGAAAAGAACAAAAGTGTACCTGAGAGCCGGAGCCAATACATTCATCACTGCCGCACAACTTATCAACAAGCTCAGTGAACATTTGCTCTTTTGGAGTTTGAGCTGGTGCACCATAGTACGAAAACTCAACAACATCCACATCACACCAAATACCTCCTGGACCCTGTCAATGATCCGACTAAGTGAAGTGATAGCTATTAAGACCATGACAAAAAGAAGTTCAAAGTACAAAACTTCACTAGCATTGTTTGGGAGCATGACTAATCCAATCATCTAAAATACATATGAATTAAAGTTTCCCTACCTCAACAATGGCAGGAAGGCATTGGGTCGGATTAAGCCACTTCTTGTGAACTTTGCGAGCAACAAAGCAAAGAATTGCGGGGATATCTGTCAGAACCCCTTTCCTGATGCGGAAGCCCACCGCCGTTCCAAGGCTGAAGCAACGCAATATCTTGCTATGGAAAGCTCTTATAGTCATCAAATCAAGCAAGCTATTTGCTTGCTGGCCCTTGGGCAACTTGCCAGACTTCGGGAGAAGTCCTTTTGAAAGGTTGGCAAAGTAGTTTGCACGCCCCTCAGCTGCACAATGCTGTAGGTTTGATGTTGGCCATAAGAAGTATGCCGCGCTGTTCTCTGTGTGTGTGCACCCAGAAACAATTGGTTGCATTGATGGAGAACAAGGGAATGACTGTTGATGGTAGCAATGCCCGTCCACATCAAGTGTCGATTCATCTGATTGTGCAAAGCCTGAAAGCTGCACCCTGTCATCTGAAGGCCTCATTTTGCTGAACAGGCTGCCGAGCTACAATATGTAGGATAAGTTGTAACCCTAAAAATGAGAAGCAGCAAGTCAGAGAACATGATCTCCAGGGCTAATAACCAAGCTGTAAGGTGTGAAATCTCAGGAAAGACTCAGAAAGCATGTAATCCTGTGAGTGTGCTTCAAAGTTATAGATTCAATGGATGGGGTAACTTTGGTCAAAATAGCGAATATGTGAATAAACAGCTAGTTGTGGAGCAGGCTGTTATTCCTCAGGAATAGATTCTGCAAGATTGCAAGGGGAGCTGAATTTAGTGTCTGTGAATCGTGAAAGGTTACAGAATAGGTATACGCCACCAATGAGCTGTACGAAGAATAAATAAATCCATTTGGATGGGGCGTGTGATATTCTGAAATAAAACAGATAAGAGGAATCCACAAAAGCCATGGCTCAGGTCTCCTCCTCTCTCTTGCTGTCTAAAGACAATGGTGACTTGCAATATGAAATCAGCGACATGAAGGTTAAGGGACGGCACAAATTCCCCCCTTTAATCACAAGGATTGGGAATAAATCCACATGACAACTACTCGCAATGATAGTCTCATTTCGGGGAATAAGGTAGGGCCTACACAATTTTGGTAGCCGGTAGTGAAAATGAAGTTGGGCAGGGGCATCACATACTTTCTTGAAAGAGAAAAGCAGGAACAAAAGGCCCAAAAAGCGCCACCAGGAAATGGTATGGAGTAGCCAAAAAATCAACCACTTGTTGTAGCTAAGTCTGGAGTGCGGTGCGGCGACGAGCAATGCTCCTCCCATGGGATTTCCCCAAACCTGAAAGAATGCTGAAGGCAAGAAATGGCAAGACATCGACCACGCCTCCAAAGATTGTCTCCACAAGGAGGGGACCTCGCTTTCCATCGCATTCGACACCCCAAGCAGATTACCAGCAACCCTCACGCTTTTCTATCTAAAGTAAAAAATAGAAAGAAAACGAGCAAACAGCCTATGCTACTACGATCGAACTCAAAAGGGCAAAGGGGGCTATAAGAAAAGGCGAAAGAAGATAAACCCCGATTGGCTATTGCTCTACTCTGCCATACATACCAAGCAGCATCAAGAACCCTCCCCCACTGTTTGGGTATGAAAAGGGGGGAAAACAGAGGGGTCTCGAACAGATGAACCAACCACCGGTAGAACGAGGACGAAAGCTAAGCTGGCTCACGAATGCAGTCGTGGATCAACCAAAAAAGAGCATAACGAGAGAGAGAGAAAAAAAAACGGCCTGGAAAGTGGAAACCAAGGCAGGCAAGAGAAGGCGCCGCCAAGATTGGCAAGATCCCGCCTTTCCTCCATTCCCTGGCTCACGGCCAGCGGCCAAGAGATCCGATCTCGGTAGGGATTTGAGGCGGGGACGAACAGGAGGAGGAATTCCATTTCCAGGCGCCTTGCTTACCTCGACGGGAGCAATGGCAGGCGGGCGAGCGGCCTCAGCAGTGCTCCCCCGGTCGACGCTGGCTATCCATAATTGGGAAAATGGGGATGGGAACCGCCACTGTTTATGGCGACGCCCGGTGGGCAGAAGCCGCCGCTGCAGCGCAGCAGAGCAGCCAGCGGCCCCTTTGCTGCTCGCGCCTGTGCGCTTCCGCTGTGAACGCACAGGCACAGCGGGAGGACCAGACCAGGGGCTAGAGCCTAGCGAGTAGCGAGAGGGAAGAGGGGCGGAACCGGTTAGTTGAACGACTTGCGTCTTAGAGATTCATTTAGCGATCGTGTTATGTGTTTAAATTCATATGGGAAAAGGGTATGTTCGGCCGGACTTATTTGTATGTTATATATGACTTATTTTTATAAGAGAAAATACTTTTTTTACCGATATATATATGCTGATTTATTGTGAGATAAAAACACCTATTTTCAGCCCGTTGATAATTCGTACGCGGATTATTTAATTTGGTTCTCAAAAAAAACAAAGTCATATGTACCGTTGCGCTTAGACACTTGTAATGTGTTGCTCTGACTCGTATAGGTACGATAATGTTTAGATATTTATCGAGGAAATGATCATGTCATATGCTCACTCCGTTCTGAAATAGATGTTATCTTGCGTCCGATGAGTCAACCACCACAAAAGGTGCGGGAGAGTGGGGTGATATAAGATGACGCGTTGCACAAACGGTGTTCGCTGTAGACCGTAGAGGTTCCGTACGAGTTGTGTCGAGAGGAACGAAGACCATCATCGTTCAGTTCCTGGTAATCATGATGGTGATGAGAAATCTGTGCCACGAGAGAGCAGCAGTACCCAAGTAGAAAAGGTGAAAAGGCACAGGGAAAACCACCACAAAGGATGATAAGGCAGCAGTGGCAGCATATAATGGTTGCAAACGGTGTCTCCATCCATGTCGGCCCTGTCCGGTCCTCGTTAGAAAGCGTCGTCGCTCCTCTCGCTTTCGGCCGGTTCGCTATCTGCAATGCAGCTACATGCATGGAGAAGCAGGTAGCAGCAGTGTAGCACATGAACGGCCGCGGCGCTGCTGCATGCATATGCTGGCTGCTGGCATCATCCACCACAAAGAAGATGGGCAAGCTGGGCCACGTTGATTACCGGCCTCCAAGGGCCTGTTTGGGAGGATGGCCCAGGAGCCCGGCTGCGCTCCTGGGCTGCAACTCCCTTGTTTGGGAGGGTGGCCCAAGTCTCGGATCCTGCGCTGCGAGTGAGCCAACTCTCGCGTCTTCCGTCACCTCCCCCGAAGAAAGAAGCCGGTCATCTCCGTCACCTCTCTCGTCGTAGCCTCGCCGATGGTGGAGGCGATTGTGGTGGCGCCCGCCCTGCGCCTCGCCCTCCCTCGCCCTCCACCGCCGCGCCTCCCTCCTCTCCGAGCGTCCGCCTCTGCCGGCTCCAGCACGGCGGCGCCCCTCCGACGGCCCCTTCCCTCCTCTCCCGGCGCCCCAGCACGGCGGCTCCTCCCTTCGGCCCCATGGCTCTCCCCTCCTCCCTCGGCACGAGCGCGGCCCTCTCCATCGCCCGGTCATGCGCGGCCCCATGGCGCTCTCCCCTCCTCTCCCCGGCGCTCGGCCCCATCTCCTCATCCGCCGCTGCCGCGTGGGCGCGAGCACGATGCTCTGGCGCGGATGTGGCCGTCCGTCCTCGCTGCACTGATCCTCTCCCTCGGACTCCTGCTCCACCGGTGTCGCGGCGCAGATGGATGGCAAGCCGCCGGAGCCGCCGCCGCCGCCGCCCGCGCTTCGAGGTGCTCGGCCTCCTCGCCAGATTCGCCTGATGGCACGAACGGCACCCACCGCGGCCTCACTCTCCCTGTGTGCTCGATCTGTGCAACGCCCAGCATCTGTTCGATGAATTGCCGATGACAAGAGGAAGGAAAGGTTTTGGGGTAACATCACCGTGCTCCAAGTGCAAGGTTGCCCTATCTTTCTATGCAGGCAAACAAACACAATCTAGATTGAGCTCGGCTCTCTGGAACACAACACTCAAACACATGAAGCTGCACCGTCCGAATCACCCCCCCAAAAAAAGCTGGCCTCTTCCAGGCCAGCGTCACTCCTCGGTCTATTCGATTCTCCCTCCCAAACAAGCCCCATTCTCTTCCTGTCTCATCATTCTCTTCCTGGAGCTCATCGTCACTTGGCGATTTATATCATTACTGATTTGTTTACGTGAGAAAAAAATATTATTAATTAATTTATATAAATAGTATCCATGTGAGGAGGTAGCTGGCCAGCCAGCCCCAACCGATCAGGGCGAGTAGTACCTCTTTTGGGAGAGATGAGAGGAAACCACGAAGGAGCCGGCCGGGCCGACGGTGGCTTCTAGAACCTTGCGATATGTCCCTCGCTCGGTAATGAGGCGGTTGCTTCTTGTTGGCTCACTTCCGTTCGTCCCGTGGAAACGTACTGTGCGCCGGGGTTTTCTGCAATCGCCATCGCGCGTCCCATCGATGGAGGGTTGGAGAAAGATGCCGGATGGATGGCAACTGGATCGGATAAGACTCATCCAAACTTAAAAATGGGTACCAAGATATTTAAAATTAGCTTTCAACGGACTATCTATATAGAAGACCTATTTTAAGATTGTCTGAGAGACATAATCTAAATATGGACATCCTCTCTCCTAGAAACTCATCTGTAGAAGGATTTTTTTTTTGATCTTGTTGTTGGAGAAGATGTCGAATAGGTATTGAACCTTCTGCCTGTAACACTATCCAAAAAATTAATGGGTCTTGTATTTTGGGTGTTGTCATTCGAGATGCCTATGAGGGAAGAAAGGGCTGCTGGTTTCGGATAAGTTTGTTTATGCTCTTCGCGGTCAGGAAAATATCTGCTTCCGCGAGAGCGAGACGTACGGACGTCGTCGTCGGCAACGGTGGTCCGCGCCGCGCTAATGGAGTGGAGCTGGAGAGGAGAGCGAAGCCCAGCTGATCTGATGATGGCGCAATTAGGCACAGCATTAGTGCGATTTAACATCTCGCTCTGTCTATATGTACTGTCGTGTAATCTCACTCTGCCTCGCCCAAAGTGGTAGCAGCACTGCAGGAGGCAGGGAAGCGCAGGAGGGCACGCAGAACCAACCAGATGGAGCTGTTGTGCTTGTGCATTACGTAGATGGATGGGAGTATTACCACCCTCCTCGCTCCCGTGTTAAAAAAAAAATAATGTAAAATCTCGTGTCTTTAAGGAGTCAAACTAACCTAAATTTAATTCGATTCATACAAACTAGCATTAACATTTATATATTCAAATAAATTCATTCGTTATGAAAATATATTTCATAATTAATCTAGTGATGCTTGTTACGCGTCGTAAATATTACTATTTTTATAATTTTTTTAACTATTCAATTTAGGATTGTTTGACTCCATGGAAAGCTAGAGAGAGATGTCACTCTTGTGTTTCGAGAAGTAAATAAATACCATATTTGACAAGATATATAAAGATGATATTAATATTTTTGTTACGTAATCCGTACCATTATATAAAACATTAAATATATTTTTCTTAAAATGAATACTCCCTTTTCTCATATAAAAAGTGTCGATATGGGATTCGTGCTGATCAAACTCTCTTAAGTTTGACTAGGTTTGTAGAAAATATCATCAATAGTTGTGTCTCCAAATAAGTTTATTATAAAAAAATATTCAATGATCTATCTAACATACTAATTGTTTGCCACAAATATTAATATGTTCTTATATATTTGGGCATTTGGCTAAAGTTGAAAACGTTTAACTTCTCCTAAATGAACAATGACAAACGAGGCAGCATTTAACCGAACGAAACGATTAGACACAAAAATACGACATCTAATTGCGACTATTTCCGAAAACTAAATACAGACACTTAATAAAAAAACGGAGGGAGTATACTGGACATATAAATGCTGATAATACTTTTCGTAAATAAATATTGTGAAACCTAGAATTGTGACCAACACAAAGTGTGCAAGGCTGTGCCAGAGCGATTCTGCAATTGCATGGAGACGCGATTCTGCATCTGCATCTCTGTCATGGTATCCCCGTGTTTAGTTGGAGGTCATTTCATGGATTTCAGCCTTTTGACGCTGCATCTGTGGGCATTAAATGTAAACGAAAAAAAAAAAAACTAATTGCATCTGCATCATCTGTCATGGTATCCGGTGAAATTAAAGGCTGCTGATGCTGGTAGAGTAGTAGTACTAGGCGGGTACCCGCCAGCATTGATTTCGTGTTCGTGGGAGCGGGAAAGCAACGGTCTTCCTTCCTGTAGCCTAGCCGTGTGGCCGCAGTTGCTCCACGTACCCGGCCGGCCGGCCGGCCAGCGTGTACCTAGCTAGGACCGTGTGTGTGCGCGTGTGGCACTTGATTCTAATAAGCCGGTTTATGAGTCCGCTTATCAATAATGGTATAGTGTTTTTCTCTCAACAAATCAACCATATAAATCAGCACAAGCAATTTATAAATCAGCCGAACAGAGCCCCAGGAGTACTACTCCTAACGGTTCAGGCCAAGGTATTGCCGTTCCTCTTTTTCAGAGGTTACTACTTACGGAGAGATCTTCTACTACCACTTACGCCGGGGTTGAGTTGAGGACCGGAACATACGACGGATGCAAAGAGCAAAAAAGAAAAGCCGAACCGGGACCATGTCCCATTATATATCCATGCAAATGCAATGCATGCGTACCCAGTGCAAACAGCCGGCGCGGCGTGGGGGGTGAGGCAGGGCCCGGACCGCCGGAGCTTTGGCCCCGCGTGTGCTTTGCTTTGCACTGCCACGGCCCTCGGCGAGCAGCGGCAGGCAGCAGAGGACGGGACGAAGCAGGGCAGACTGGGGAGCGGGGAGACCACGGCCACGCGCAGGCCCAGCGGTGGCTCGTGCTCGCTTTGCCAGTTGGCCGGCCTCACCCACCCAGTCACCTTTGACCGAACTTACCGGCCGGCCGGCCATCATGGCGTTGGCATTTGGCAGCCAGGCCGGCCCCCGGCCCCCGGCCCCCTGGCACAGGGCAGGGCCGCAGGGGCAGCCAGCGCCCAGCGGCAGGGACAGGGGGCCACGCCCACGGTGTTGATTGCCGATTGGCGCCATGCCGGAGAGCATCCTCAACAGTGCCACGTCGCCTCCCATTGGCCACCCAGCTGATCCATCAGTCTCTGCTCTGACGACACTGAGAGAGGCCTCAACAGTACTTTTGGTATCCAGGAACAGTACCGCGCGGCCTTTTCCCAACGCGCTTCGAGGGCCTTCTCCGCCGCCTCGGGAATGCCGCTAATATACGGAGTAGTCCGTATGTACTCGCTGTAGATCCGTGTCAGTCAAATAACTTAGGGCCTTGTTTAGATTGAAAATAATTTTAACCCGATGAATAGTAGCACTTTCGTCTTATTTGGTAAATATTGTCCAATCGTGGACCAACTAAACTCAAAAGATTTATCTCGTGATTTCCAACTAAACTGTGCAATTAGTTATTTTTTTTTACCTACATTTAATGCTCCATGCAAACGGTTAAAAATTGATGTGATAGAGAGAGAGTGAAAAAACTTAGAATTTTGAGGGTATCTAAACATGGCCTAGGTTTGATCCAGTTTATACTAAATTATATTAGTATTTATGTCTCCAAACAAAATTTATTATGAAAACATATTCTATAGCTAATTTAGCGGTACTTATTTTATATCATGAATGACAATAGTTTTTTATTTAAATTTAGTCAAAGTTCAAATAGTTTGACTCCTCGAAAAATAAGAATTGCATTCTTTCCTGGGCGGAGGGAGTACACACGATAGCCCGCAGAGTAGGTTTGTGAACGAAAATGCCAACCAAATTAGTACTCGCTCCATGTTGGTAAAAGAAGTCGTTTTGAACAGCAACACAGTCTCCAAAGCACAACTTTGACTTCTTATTTTTATTAAAATATTTATTGAAAAGCGATAGTATATGTACTCCTATTTTTTATGAAAGTACTCCATAGTATTTTTTTTAACACAAGTCTATTCATGTGGTTTTCATATTTTCAAACTCAACAACTTAAAAGTTATTCATGATTTATATTCCCAATATTTGACCCAAACCTTGTCCAAAACGACTTCTTTTACCAACCTAGAGGGAGTATTCTGTTTAAAAAACACAATTCTAGGTGCATTTTTCAATTTCAATTAAATTGTCTAAAATTCGATCAAATATATAGGTAGTACTATAATATTTATGGACTATATTATAATAGTATGTTTCATGACGAATCTAATGCTACATATTTTGTACAATAAATATAAGTATTTTTTATATAAGTTTGATCAAATTTGACCTACTAAAACATAACACTATTTTAAAATTGCATTCATCTTGGGACGAAGGGGGTAATATATTATACCCCCTCCTTTATTTTTATTTTTAAAAAATGCAATTGTCACCTATCAGGAGAAGTTAGCACACACAAAAGAAACGTCTCTATACTAGTATTTTCTTCCGCATGTGTTTATTGGACAAAAATAAATATCGCACCTAAACTTTATACTTATTATATCATGCATCTATATATCATATTTTTTAAGATATATAGTTTGACTTAAAAAGTTGGACAAAAGAGACGTTCTTTTCTATAAACTTGGCCAGGTTTAAAATAATTTCATTTAGTAGAATTCTAAAGTTGATTTAGTTTGGGATGTGAGGAGTACATAGTATCAATATTTAAGAATTAAGATTCCAAACAGCTATATTATGAAAATATATTCCATGACAGATATAATGAAACGTATTTAGTTTGGTAAACATTAATATCCTTTTTATATAGA